AGTTTTGACACTTTTTCTCCAGAGCCAAACTCTAATGGCACAACCTGTGGAGATTCGAAAAACAATCAAAGAAGAACTCCTGCCTAGTTTTGTAATCGCTGATTTGTCTTCAGATCCGGATTTCTTAAGTGTAATTAACCAGGCTTTGAATCTCGGGTCTGTAACGAGGAATTCATCTACCGGAAACACCCTACAGTACACCGTCATTACGTCAGGGAACAGCCACAGCCAGTACTTCGCCGTCGACTCTTTTTCCGGTGTCGTGTCCATCAAAAAGAATATTGACCGCGAAAGATTATGCAGTTTTAAGGACGAATGCACCCTGACGTTTCAGATTGCTGCCCGTTCCGTCTACGGCGGGTTTTTTCAACTGATCAGTTTCATAATTACCGTTGTAGACATTAATGACAACCCGCCTGAATTTACTCAGATGAAGTTTGATGTAGACATCCCAGAGAACGCTCAGGTCGGCAGGACTTTCCAGCTGCCAACGGCTTTTGATCGCGATGCGGGTGCGAGCAATAGAGTCAAGGAGTACAGGATATTGCAAGGTCCACCTCAGTTCGGCCTGAGAACTGTGCCTGCTGGGGTCAACTCGTCTGATGTGTATCTTAGTCTCGATGATGATATATCCCGAGAGGTTGCTGTTACTTACAAGGTAAGTCGGAGTCACATGTGTGATGTTGTGTTTGTGTGTGAGTGTGTGTGTTTATGTTGTGTGTGTTTATGTTGTGTGTGATTGTGTTTATCTTGTGTGTGTGTGTTGTGTTTTGAGTGTGTGTTGTGTGTCGGTGTGTTTATGTTGTGTGTGCGCGTGTTTTGTCTAATTGTATTGTCACTGAGTTAAAAGTCTCATTTGTTTCGCTTCTCTGCCTTTCAAAGCCCCATTTGGAGATCTGAGATGTGTGTGATGTTGTGGATGTTTCGCAACAAGGCTGCTGCCGCGGACTCTGATTTCTCTATCTGTCCATCAGAACACGGCCGGTATTTCTTTCGATTCTGGTCTATAGGAACTGGCAGTTCAATTTTAATGTTGTCTTACCTGCGATCAGTAAAGTGTTTTGCTAAAACTAGATGGTTATGGTTTATACAACGGATCAACATCATGATACAAGGGCAGTAACCCATAAGTGATCCGTTCTACCTCTAACTCAAGCCTGAGTCCGAAGAATCTCAGGGCAGTGCACGGACTTCGAAGCACCGGCGAGGATCCTGAAACACTAGGTAGATTTTTAACCCAAAATTTGCCATTAGGCTACTCTTTTCGATTTTCAACTGCCAGGGGATTTTTTTTAAAACGTGCGCAACAATATACACGGTCGTCCGGTCTTACTACCCAGAGACCAGGGAAAATTACTAGAAATCCAAGTGGAAAAAATAACAGCCTTCACCAGGGCCTGAACTCGGGACTTCCAGCACTCAAGGCTACGACATACCTCTAGACCCTTTGAAATTAGATGTGCTAGCTGTAGGCGCAGATCACAGCCTAGCTGTGAAACACACCACGGCATGCCGAAGAAGAAAAAGATAAGAAGAAGAAGAAGAGATAGTAGTAGTGGTAGTATTAGTAGTAGTAGTAGTAGTAGTAGTAGTAGTAGTAGTAGTAGTAGTAGTAGTAGTAGTAGTAGTAGTAGTAGCAGTAGCAGTAGAAGGAGGAGGACGAGGATGAGGAGAAGAAGAAGAAGTAGAAGAAGAAAAAAGAAGAGGAGGAGGAGAAGAAGAAGGAAAAGGAAAAGAAGAAGAAGAAATAGAAAAAGAAGGAAAATGAAAATAAGAAGTAGAAGACGAAGAAGGAAAAGAAAAAGAAGAAGAAGAAAACAAGAAGAAGCAGCAGCTTCTCCGCTTTCCAATCTGTAGTTTAAGAATTGACTGAAGTATAGATCTCAAAGCATCATACGGACTTCAAGAACAGCTCCAGGATGGGGGACAGTAAGGTGAAGTAAGTCACGCAGCAGGTAAAGCCGTTAAGGTGTGTAGTGGTAGACCTTCGCCCTGTTAGATGCATAGTCCGTGGCTGGGGCTTAGGCGTTACGAATGAGCCTCATAATTCTACAGGAGACCGTTTTGAGCTAGTTTTGACAGTGATATCGAAAGGCGACCGTTTAGTTCGCAGTGACAGTCTACTGAACATAAAATTGCTTAGGAAAAACAGTTTATTTTAAAAATGAGGAGGTCTCTAATGCAACGTACAGTAAAGGATGTACAATAAATTTAAAAAAAAAAAAAGTGCAGCCTGATTTTATAGAGTAATTGACACTTCCCGGCTGATCAGGTAAGTATCTCGCCGATCGCCTTTATTTCCAAGAAACTTTTTAGTACTCATTTTAGACCGGTCAACCATGCTGCAAAGGTATGTTTAAAAAAAAATCTGCCTCAGTCAGGGGCGTTTCTCATGTAGGCAATCAGTTCACTTCGTGGGTCAGTTTCTTTCAAGACGTCTTCATTACTCTTGTTTTATCTGTCCAGGGTATTCTCATAATTCTTTTATAAAAAAGGTTACCGAAAACCGAAAGGGTTATCGAAAACCGAAAGGGTTACCGAAAACCGAAAGGGTTGCCGATTGCACATTATAAGCGGGTGATCGGCAGTAGTTTCTTATTATTTGAATAATTGTAAGTTCTCTTCTGTTAAGCAACCCTTTCACGCGAGATTTAGGGAAATCTCATAGTATAGTATAGTGGGTTGGCGTAGGGGTTAGTAGTAGTCGCTGTTCATTTAACACTAACCCTAACCCCCTTATACTAAGAGATTTCCCTAAATCTGGCATGATGTGGTCGCTTAACAGAAAAGAACCTAACTGATTATTAGTTACCGCAGCCTGTGGAAGTCGCAGTCGCACAAGGTTTGCCGCTAATATCAACCCAGAAGAAGTTTGACTTCAACAGAGCGACCACAGTAGCAGATACATTATGAAAAGCGAACAGAGGACAGCAACCAATGGCAGAGATCATATAATCCGGCAACATAACAAGCACCAAACTAACCAATCAGCACTAAAATGATGACCCTACAGACAACACGCAGAAAACCTGGCTCGACAGATATGGAAGGCTAAAACCATCGACACTAAGAAACACAAAATACTCCTAACAGCATAATATGAGCCAAAATTATAGCTAATTTTGAATAGGCGAGGCTAGCTCCCTAGGTAATAGCCGAACTTGGCCAATTCATATTGATGATCATGTTGGCTGGGATACTCAAATGAGGTGCGAGATCATTGTAATTGACTTATACCTACTAGGTCAACCGATAACCGCTGCGGTGTAGTGGCTAGACGCTAGCCTGCGAGTCCGAAAGCCGTGTGTTCAAATACAAACGGAGCCGGACTTTTTCAAAAATTATCTTGGCTTCTAGGTCGACCCAGCTTTAAACTGGTACCAGGCACGTCAAGGCAGTCACATCACCCACCAAGTGCTGAATATAGACCTAGCACTATAGGCCTAATTTATCTGAAGGCGTGGAAAAGGGTCCTATTACTTCTTTACCTTCCGAACCCAGCCTAAATGAGTACACAAGTCATTAGAAACAGGGGTGATTGCAGTCCACCTTGTGGTAGGAAATTTTTCCATTGAACTGTGACTAAATTTTGGCAGCTGTCCAACCCGCTCTAAAGACAGGTACGAAGTGGAAAGTCCTAGATGCGATTAAATCTGCCCAGGAAGCACTGAAACTGAACTATGTTATGTGTTACACACAAACCGACCAACGCGGCCTAGGGTATTGGAAAGTCAGCTGGTGGTCCAAAGAACGTGGGGACATGGTAATACAGCAGATAAGGAACACCGAAAACGAGACTCGGGTCCAAAAATCCGCACAACAGTCGCAGCAAAGCCAGTGGATCGAACTCGCGATCGCCTTGCCACGAATACTCATATGGGGTGAGATCTGGCGCATGGCCCCGCTGCGGCTGAGCTTTGTCGTAAGATCTGCATTCTGTGTTAACCCTCTGGCATCAACATAGTGAAATGGCATGCGACTACCGACCCGATATGCCCACTGTGCAGAGCTAAGCAGACGCTCGAGCACGCATTTTCCGGGTGTAGAAAAGCCCTATGCCATGGATTATATGCTTGGCGTCACAATAAAGTAATGAAAGAGTTAGCGGACATTGTCGACCAAGCCAGGATAAGGGCCAACACGAGGGCCAATCCTACCGTCCCCCACCCCCACCCCCCATGCGTCTCCTTAAAGCTGGGCAGATTTCTAAAGGTAAAATCAACAAGGTCGCATACATTCCATCAATTTTTGACTGTGCGAGGGACTAGTTACTGGCTGTCGACCTGCCTGGTTTCGAAAAGTACCAGAAGAAACAGAACAAGAAGGACAGTGGAGGAGATTGGGGTCTCACCACGTGATCCTCCCAAAGACAGCAGTGGTTGTACTGTAACCAACCCTCACCATCAAGAATCAATCGATCGGTTTATCGCCTCATGTTGCTACCCAAAAGTTTACCATACCCTACTGAGATTACAAAATTTCGACAGTACAACAAGACAAATTCCAGATACCCTGTCAAAGCTCCAAAAAAGTCTTAATTAGGGCAACCATAACGGCGACACTAGCCAGGTGTGTCCTGCATACCTGTGCGGGTATGGACCTTCACCGAGTAGATATCCCAGGGCTGGACAAACATGATGAAGCACTTAGCTGTTTAAGGTCCTGAGGCCCCTTATGTTTTAAATTGCTTCAGTTAACCTTAACAAAACTCGAAATATATACTCCTTTAACATATATGGATCATGGAAATATACTGCCGTTTAATATTTAGTAAACAAATATATTAGAAAACGCATTTGCAAAAGCACAGAAATTCTATAATCCTGTTGATGGCTATATTAAAAGAAATTTAGATTTGTGAACAAAAACAAACGAGAATTTGTTGAGTCCCCTGCAGATTGTGAGGCCCTAATCTGCAGCAAACTCAGCTGATGCCTAAATCCAGCACTGAGACCTCTGTTTTGTTTTGAAGCTCATCATGTGTTTTGTGTCCGACGCAGGTTCTGGTGGGCGCCATCGACGGAGGAATACCGCCACTCACCGGAACGTTGACCGTGGACGTTCTGATCTCGGACGTTAATGACAACTTCCCCATCTTTGAGCACAGCCTGTACACGAAGAGCATCCCCGAGATCACAGGAAACGACCAAGTCATAGTTCAGGTATGGTGTGCGCGCGTGAGCGTGTGTGTGTGCGCGCGCACACGCGCTCAGACAAATTTGGGTTGATTTTTTGTAACACTAAAGATGTTTTGTTTTTCAGAAAGCGTGGATAACTAATTAAGGTTTAATTAACTGAACACAAACAAGTCAGTGAAGACGGTAACTCACAGTGTGAACTAATCCCAAGCACCAAAAGTAGCCAATCCGTGGTCGGGGAGAACATAATTAGAATAGGATAACTTAAGTAAAACAACAGGACGTTTGAAGGGGAAGCTGGGCTAAGGGAAACCAAGAGATATTACTAAAAATTGTTTCATCATTTCATGGAGATATTTGTATCAGAAATTATTAGCAGCACACGAGACAGAAGGCTGTGGGTGAATGAATGAATCAAGAAATGACATTAATGCACCGTTTCCTTTCTTGGTAGCCAACTAAGAGTTCTCATGGTAAATAGTACCAGTTGCAACCTGATTAAAAGTCAGCCTCTTTCTCCCTCAGTGATCAGTATCTTCCAGAACCCCTACTGAATTAGTCTTTCATGTTGTGGACATTGTTTGTTCTGTTGCAGTGTCTGCTTGATACTCCGACTTTGAAGGAAACACCTCTGATTAGTCAACTTTTACCACAGTGTGGCCAGAAGAAATGAAGACTTGTGGTTAACAAATAAATTGTAGTCTATAAACTATGTAGTCAGGGCTACATCATCCACTGGGCTAGATCATCCACTGGGCTAGATCATCCACTTGACTACATCATCCACTGGGCTAGATCATCCACTGGGCTACATCATCCACTGGGATAGATCATCCACTGGGCTACATCATCCACTGGGCTTGATCGTCCACTGGGCTACATCATCCACTGGGCTAGATCATCCACTGGGCTAGATCATCCACTGACCATAACACCCATTGTCTACATCATCCATTGACCACATCACTGATCAAAATGCAGTTGGGCTATAAAACTGAGGCTAGCCCAGCACCTTTTTTTTTCAAATCCTTCACACACACACACCCCTCCCCATTTTTCTTCTCTTTTCAATCCATGTGCGTCCTAGAGACCTATTTTTGTTTTTGGAAAGTAAATAGTAGATTTAGTGGCCTTTAACAAAAATGTCATAAAAGGTATCTTTTGCAAGGTTTTGGCTTAAATTCGATGTGCAGAAAGGGTGCAGATACTGCAGCCTAGATGTGAACCACAACCAACTACCATGCAGATATTGCAGCCTAGATGGAAACCACAACAAACTGCCAACCACCCATTTTAAGAGAGAATGCAGAGAAATAACTATTTCCCACTTTGCAACAACTTTTTCTGTGTGCTCTCCAGGTAAAGGCAACTGATGCAGACAGTGGACCTAATGGGGACCTGGTTTATTCCTTTTCTGCCCAACAACCTCAAGATGACCTGGACTTCTTTCGCATAGACCCAAAGACAGGAGAGATCTTCCTCACCACATCTGTCGAAGCCAGGGCTGGGGATGAAATTGAGTTGCTGGTTGAAGCCAGTGATCAAGGACATCCTCCAAAGATTTCCAGAACTGTTGTGAGAGTAAGTCTTTTGTAATGATCTGTTTTTAGCTTATGTTGTAGATGGCTGTAACACTATGGGAGAGTGCGAACAATGCAGAATTGCGAATAGATCATTATGGTCTGGAGAGAATGCTGCAATGAGGAGTCACTTGGAGATCTGGCCATCATTCAACGCTCAGAGAAAAATTGAGGAGGATGTGTGATGAAATCATGATGACAGGATCCATGCTGAGAAAATCATAACACTCCAGACATCACAGTTGATAGAGGCTCAGTGTCATATATCTCGTCACACTCCAGACCTTCCATTTGAAGGAGGCTTTCTGTCATAGATGTCATCACACTCCAGACCTTACATTTGATGGATGGAAGTCGTGATGACAAAGACTATGTGTGTCCTGGTAAACAACTGAAGCATTAAAACCTGGCTTTGTCTGCAGATTCCCCTAAAAGGTGTCACTATCTTCTTTGGGGGGTCAGCTGGTGTTTCTCAGTGAACCCGAGAGCTGATAGTAGTGTAGTCAACTGCAGGGCCTCCCAAGCTGGACAGATCAGAGAGTAGAGAACAGACAACCTGATCCTATGGTTTGGGAGGGTTGAAGTGTGTCAGTTCTAAAATCTAATTTCACATGAAACAGAGGGCTGATATCAATGAACCTCAAAGGCTCAAAATGCTGAAGAAGAAGTAATTTGTCTCTATTAGAGACAAATATATAGAACACTACTGATTGCTGTATGAGCCTGTAGAATACGGGCACCATATGGTAAGCAAAAATGTTACCACCATAACCTACAAAGCATGCCATAAATAGCAACTTAGTTGGGAATGGTCATGGAGTCTGTCCTTTCACTTTTTTTTTTTAAATCCTGAAATTGGTACCTGCTAATTTTTTAGGTTTTTCAGCTTAAAAGGAAATATGATGGGAACTGATCACTACCACCTCGTTATTCTGTGGCTTGGAAGTCCACAATTTGAGATCTCAATATATTATCTGCCTGTTCTTTTAAAATCATTGATATCTTTATACTATCATTCTTGTTGTTGTTTATTTTCACCTCCTCCTCCTCCTTCTCCTCCTCCTCCTTCTCCTCCTCCTCCTCCTCTTCTTCTTCTTCTTCTTCTTATTCTTATTCTTCTTCTTCTTCTTCTTCCTTCGTCCTCGTCTTCATCTTCTTTGTCGTCTTCATCTTCTTCATCCTCTTTTCTTTATCTTTTTCTTCTTCTTCTTCTTCTACCATTTATCCTCTAGAGGAACATAGACCCCCAACTAACTCATGCCAAAGGATCCTATTTTCTACCATAACATGCAGCTCACCCCATATCCAATCTTATTTACTCATGTCTAACTTTTCTCTTCATGGTTCAATCTCCCTTCATTTCTTTTTTCCATGTAGATTCCAGTAAAAATAGCTTTTAGTTATATTATTATCAAGCTCTTTTCAGTGTGTGCCATATCTGGCACTATTATTGTAATTCTCTACCCCCATCCCCTTTTCCTTTTTTTATGATGTCTCTGTAGACACATAAAAAATTCAGAAGTGACCTCCATTGCTACTGGTCTGCTGCTTTCCTGCCTATGGTATCCAGTGTTGGTCCATTTTACATTTCCCGGTCCAGGATGAGAGTGACTTCCCTTGCCATTCATAAATCATCTTGTCACAGAGCTTGTCATATGCTGCCAGGCTTTGTCACCAGCCAGGGATACCTTCTAAAACATGCGGATGTGGTCATAACCTCAACTCCCCCCCACTTCCCACGAGAGAGTGCAGCCTACATGCCACGATTGCATGCAGCCTACATGTCATGATTGCATGCAGCCTAGATCGCATGACTGTATGCAGCATATATTATAGGCTTGTAGGCTGCACTCTCTCGTGGGACATAGTCTGGACTCTCTCGTGGGATGTAAGGGGAGGTTGAGGTTAGGGTAAGTTCTGCATGTTTTGCGACCATTAATATCCTGGAATTAACAACACGCGATATCACCGGTCGGGGACAATAACTAGTAAAATGCTAAGTGCTGGTAGCTGGTCATACTCATGACATCCCGGCAACATAGGACAAGCCCTGTGTCACGCCAGTTTATGAATGGCAAGGGAAGTCACTCTCATCCTGGGCCAGAAAACGTAAAATGCACCCCAATTTCCTTTAAATTTATTTACTTTTCTTTCTGCTGACCTTTTCCAGTTTTTTTTTTTAGGTCACCACTTCTTTCTCAATCTGCCATCCACTGTCCTTGTTTATAAGTATCATGAGATATTCTGCAGACATGTCCAGACCATCTCCATCATCTCCCTTTAATAACAATTGCTGGTTTTCTTTCTCAGTTCTTCATTTGTGTTCTTGCTTGGCCAAAATTTTCACTGGATTCTCCTTAGACACCTGTTCTCAAAAGTCTGCTTTATATGTAATTTCTGCTGTCATACTTCCATCTATTGTTAATAATGACAAATACTTCTTCCTTTATGCTACATATTTTTCAGAATCTTTATCTGGTGTAACTTTACTTCTGAAATATATTATACATTCTTCAGCTTCTTCTATTGCTTTATTGTTTGAGTTATTGTCATTAATAGATTATCGTCTTTATTATCATCATCACCAGATACACATAGAAGACACCATCAATAGCATTCCAGACATCATCATCGACACGCTGGGTGGCTCACAGGAAGGAATTGTGGAGGTGTCAGAGTATGCTGAAGTCGGCAAAGTTGTGGCTTTCATCAGTGTTCGAGATCCAGATAGTGGTGATAATGGCCAGACCAGCTGTCAACTGAGCAGTCCAGAGTTTGAACTGGTGAAGCTGGATGATGATGGAAAGTACAAGGTAGGTATTACTACTGGCCATCGTTGTTGTTCTGATAATAGTTTAACTAGAATGTCCTTGCAGTGGAATTCACATGGCAAAGAACCAAAATTGGGGGAGATAATTAGGGGTTGAATTAAAAAATATGGGTGAGGGGAATACAGGGGCAAAAGACAATAATAATCATCATTATTCTTTTTCTGCCTTTCTAGCCCCAAATGGAGCATAGGCCCTCAACCAACTCATGTCAGGTTCTATCTTTTGCTATTGCATGCAGCTTTCCCCATATCCACCCCATCTTTCTAATTCTCCAGCTTCTTTCTCCATGTGTTTTTTTGGCCTTTCTTTATTCCTGTGGCCCTGGGGGTTCCAGTGTGCAAAGACATTCTAGTTATATTGTTCTCTGGTTTTCTTAGTGTGTGTCCTATCCAACGTATCATCATTATAGTCCCATAATAGTGCATGTTGTTGGGTCTCCAGTTGCTGTTGACTGTCTAATTGGTTCCCTTCACCTCTGTCAGTCAGATACAGTGGACATGATGTTTGCGGCCTGTCCAACCAGCCATATTCTGTATCCAGATCTTTCTTGATCTGCATTTTCTCCACTTTTACCCTACTGAGCCCTGTTTATTTTTGTTTTGTTTTTTGAGGCCGGTCGATCTCATTACATGGCTGTACCATTGTATTTTCTGTCTTAACTCTGTTGTGAAAAAGAGGTTCATAGCTGCCAGTATTTTGTTGGTAATGTGGTGAACTCATCATTTAAAATAAGAATACTTTCTGTGTGGTGATGTGGTGAACTCATCATTTAAAATAAGAATACTTTCTATGTGGTGATGTGGTGAACTCATCATTTAAAATAAGAATACTTTCTGTGTGGTGATGTGGTGAACTCATCATTTAAAATAAGAATACTTTCTGTGTGGTGATGTGGTGAACTCATCATTTAAAATAAGAATACTTTCTGTGTGGTGATGTGGTGAACTCATCACTTAAAATAAGAATACTTTCTGTGTGGTGATGTGGTGAACTCATCACTTAAAATAAGAATACTTTCTGTGTGGTGATGTGGTGAACTCATCACTTAAATAAGAATACTTTCTGTGTGGTGATGTGGTGAACTCATCACTTAAAATAAGAATACTTTCTGTGTGGTGATGTGGTGAACTCATCACTTAAAATAAGAATACTTTCTGTGTGGTGATGTGGTGAACTCATCACTTAAAATAAGAATACTTTCTGTGTGGTGATGTGGTGAACTCATCATTTAAAATAAGAATACTTTCTGTGTGGTGATGTGGTGAACTCATCATTTAAAATAAGAATACTTTCTGTGTGGTGATGTGGTGAACTCATCACTTAAAATAAGAATACTTTCTGTGTGGTGGTATGGTGAACTCATCATTTAAAATAAGAATACTTTCTGTGTGGTGATGTGGTGAACTCATCATTTAAAATAAGAATACTTTCTGTGTGGTGGTATGGTGAACTCATCATTTAAAATAAGAATACTTTCTGTGTGGTGATGTGGTGAACTCATCATTTAAAATAAGAATACTTTCTGTGTGGTGATGTGGTGAACTCATCACTTAAAATAAGAATACTTTCTGTGTGGTGGTATGGTGAACTCATCATTTAAAATAAGAATACTTTCTGTGTGGTGATGTGGTGAACTCATCATTTAAAATAAGAATACTTTCTGTGTGGTGATGTGGTGAACTCATCATTTAAAATAAGAATACTTTCTGTGTGGAGATGTAGTGAACTCATCATTTAAAATAAGAATACTTTCTGTGAGTTGATTGTATGTGCTGCAGTGGGAGATGAAAGGCAAAAAAAAAAAACACATTATTTATTAGGAAGAGATTGGACATATCTAAAGCGGGATTATGATAATTTGAACTGAACAGGAATCAAATAAGACCTTTCATATTTTATTTTCTTGAACTTAGCGCCCTTTTTGGTTATTTATTAAAATGTCAGTTTTCTGTTTGTTTTCTAGCTAAGCATTCCTGTAATATTATCTTATGCTTTCACAATCAGCATCGCTGAACATTAGGCATTCCAACACCTGCTCTATCCCCTGATACAGCAGCCACTCTAAGACACTTCTTCTGATTATTCTATGAAAATTTGGTTACAGAATCTCCTGTTTTGATCTCAATGACATCGCTGACAAGCTCCACAAGGTTTCACCCCAAGGTTATATAATCATGATAAAGAAATTTATCATTATCTACCAGCCTAGTCTGTCCAGTATTGATATCAGCTCTGCCAAATCTTCTCCCTCCATGCAATAGTGCACTACTTGCCAGTTGGCCCGCTCATTTATTACCTTGTACTTCACTATGCCCAGGTATCTAGGCCCAGATGCATAGATCCAGATGAGGAAGTATTCCTGTTGCTTTGTTGTTTTCTGATAATAACTTTTGTTGAAGTGAGCATTTAAAAAAAAAAATCTCTTTGTCACACAGGCTGAACTGATGACGAGCCTGGACAGGGAAACAAAAGATACCTACAAGATCACCCTGTCATGTTCTGACAATGGCTTCCCTCCCTTGACTGCAACAGCAGACTTCACTGTCAAGGTCATGGATGAAAATGACCATGCACCAGTTTTCTCAAAGAGAAATTATGAAGCAGCCATTTTTGAGAACAACACTGTGGGTAGGTTCTTTACAGATGCTGGTTTGTTCCTTGTAAATGGTCCTATTGGAATAATCTTTATACATTATACTGTTAGTTTATTCTTTAATGGTTATAATGTTATAAATTTTTTTTTTTAAAAAGCAAATGTCCTTTTTGCTTGCTGTTTTCTCCTTTGTTTCAATTTTCCAAGTCTGCCTGCTAACTCATTTCCTGGTATGCTGCATTGAGCCAGGATCCACTTGAGAATGATTTGATTGTTTTTTGCGAGTCTGTTTAGCTGGCGGGTCGGTTCTCTCTCCATTTTGTCTTGTGGATCCATCTGAGTTGCCTGGAGGACTGACATGCAGTCACAAAGGAAAACAATTTTGCTGTTTATAATTTTTCTTTCCTCAAGCACTTTGGCTGAATCAATAATTGCTTGCTGCTCTGAAGTTTGTTGAGAGTCTTCCGGAGGCGCGTGACATTTCTACTGGGGTCCCATCTTGCAGCATGATAGCCAATCCAGCTCCTCTGTTTTTTTCTGCTTCCTTCAATGATCCATCGGTATATATGTGTGTCCATTCAGGTTTTCGGTAAGAGTTGTAGACATGTTTAAGGGTCTTTGCATGCAGTACTGGGTCACATTCTTCAGTCTTTCTGTCTGTGCCTGAGATTTTTGTTATGACTGTATAGCTAGGCTGTAGGCCTATGCTGTATGCCTAGATAATTTCTCACGTTGAAGGATCTTTAGAAAAGATATCACTGTTTTTTGCGTAGTACAATTTTGATAGATTGTGAAAATTTGTCTTTTCAGTCGGTTTGTAGTTTTTTTTCTAATCTGTGCATGAAGTTATTGTTCTTGTGTTTACATTTTTCTGTTAGGGTAAGCACTTTTTCTTCCTTTTAAAGGCTCAAGCTCTGGAGGCCAGAATTTGCCTCCAGCTCATTTTTTTATGTGCTTCTCATTCCTCCAGTGATGACTATGAGACCAGTGTTTGGTATTTTGTCCAGTCGATTGTCGTGACATTAAATACATATGGTGGCAATATGACTCTGAGATTCCATGCTTTAATTGTGGAGGATTGTTCATTATATGAATGAGCTTTGACAGTCACACTCACCATTCCAATAGTTGTGACTCCCTACAGCACAGTGTAACATTACTGTCTGAAAAAACAGAATGATTTCAACAAAGGATGCTGATGTTGGTTTGTCCTTTATAAATCATACTGTTGGGCCAGTTTTGTAAGTGATACAGCTTTATAAATGATACTACTTTATAAGTGATGATACTTTATAACTAATACTGCTTACTAAATGATGCTGCTTTATATGTGATGTAACAGTCTGCTAGTTACTGCCTTTATTATAACACTTTTGCAGTATAGGCAGGCGGGTCTTTGAGCCTGAGAATTTACGGCTGCATGCCTAGTGCTGTCGCCACGACTGTGAGGATTTTTTTTTTTTTTTGTTATTGCCCCCGACAGAAAAAAATCCCAAACCTTACAGAGGATTCGACCTGGGTCTCCTGCTTGAGAGCCCAGCGTTTTAACCGTTCAGCCAGCCGCCCCTCTTTGTAAGTGATACTGCTATATAAGTGGTGCTGCTTTGTAGATGACCTAGGAGTAGAACTCAGTTTGTCCAGAGATAATGCAAATATCCAGCCAGCTATAAATACTGCTCTCATAACTTTCAGGCAGTGGAACCAAAGTTGCAGTGTGGAATAGCTTGGGACCATGTAATATTTCCTATAGAGACAATAGCATGTGCACTATAACCAAACCTCTAATGTGGAGACAGTACGCCCCCGCACATACAGACACACCACACATATGCACGCACATCCACCCCCCACACACAGACACACACACAAAATTAGTTACAAATGGGTATTTTTCCTTTCCCCAGGTGCTTTCATTGCACAAGTAACAGCAACCGATGCAGACAGCGGAGCCAATGCTGAGATTTCATTTGGTATTGCTGGTGTCAACAAAAACTATTTTTATGTCGATGATACGGGAAAAGTGGTGGCAAAAGTGTCACTGGACAGAGAACTGTCCGATCAGATAGTAATCACGATCATAGCTACTGACAAAGGCACTCCACCCTTGTCTTCCTCTGCCGCGGTTACTGTAAAACTCCTGGATGTCAATGATGTGCGACCAGAGTTTTCTGATATGGTTTATGTGTTTGAAATCGAGGAGGAGCTGTTTGTAGGAAGCTTTGTGGGTGTTCTGTCAGCCTCGGATACAGACCTCGGCACCAATAAAGAGATCACATATCGGTTTCTAGATTCAAAAACACCTTGGAGTGAGAACTTTGTTATCAGTGCAGATGATGGAGTCATCAGAACTAATTCTGTCTTGGACAGGGAGGACAGGGAAATGTTCCACCTCGTTGCTCTGGCTGTGGATAAAGGTGTGCCACCACTTACTGGATCTTCAACCGTCATAATTAAACTAATTGACACCAATGACAATGACCCATTTTTCATTTTTCCAGTTCTGGATAATAACACGATATTTATTCCCTACTCGGTGCAGCCCAGTGAGAAAATTGTCACAGTCCAGGCTCTGGATGTTGATGCAGGCCTCAACTCTAAAATTATCTACTCTATCAGTTCAGTTAACAATTCATCTCCTTTTGAGATTGATCCAATGTCTGGAGCTCTTTTTGTGAAAGAACGCTTCACCCGAGGGAAGACAGGAACATACATGCTGACAATCATGGCAAACGATCAAGGACCTAAACAACAAAGAGCCACACAGATTCCTTTCTACATTGAGGTTTACTTCGATAACTCCACCCTGGCGTCTGCTCTGGACACGGCAGAGTTGCCAATAACACTTATAGCTGTGTTTGCTGGGGCTGGAATTGTGCTGTTGATTATTCTTATAATTCTTGTGGTATTGTTGTGCATCAAGAGACGCAAAGCCAAGACAAAGTTCAGTGGAAATGTACCAAATTCAGGTAAAATATTTGTTAAAAATTTGCTTATCTCTACAGTGAAGTTTGGTTATTGTTGATCTCCTGTGTCTCTCCTTCTGGCTGTACACTCTCAGAATGTTGTTTGTCCATCTCTTGATGTTATCCTCCCACTTGTATCACTGTCTAACCCTTGCTAATCTGACTTGAACTTTTCTCTGCAGTATGGTTTTTAATAAGCGTTTCACTTAAAATATTATTACTAGGGACTTCAACATTGTATAGAGGACTGTACTGTCACAGTAACATTGTACCAAGGATTGTACTGTCACCGGAACATTGTACCAAGGATTGTACTGTCACAGTAACATAGTACCGAGAATTGTACTGTCACAGTAACATTTTAACAAGGATTGTACTGTCACAGTAACATTGTACCGAGGATTGTACTGTCACAGTAACATAGTACCGAGGATTGTACTGTCACAGTAACATAGTACCGAGGATTGTACTGTCACAGTAACATTGTACCTAGGATTGTACTGTCACAGTAACATAGTACCGAGGATTGTACTGTCACAGTAACATTGTACCGAGGATTGTACTGTCACAGTAACATTGTACTGAAGATTTTACTGTCACAGCTTTGATTCAGTACTCCATATGATCAAGACAACAGGGAAATAAATTAACACATCTTGATTCACGGCCTGTGGTAATACTGACATGCAAAATCAGTATTTCAGGCACTCCACTCTGGAAAACTACCAGTATTACAGCCACTGCTGACTAAATGTGACATTCAGCATCAAGCTGAGACCCTCCTACTGCAGTGTGCCTGGAAAAGAGAAAGCTGATCAACTGCTTCTTCTTCTTCTTCGCATTCACCAGCTGTAAACTCTGGTGGAAATTCTGGTTGTTCATCCACTTTTGGACTGCAGTCCTGTTCTAGAGCCTGAGTGTTGCGTGTGTATCAGTTTTACAGATCCTACTCCGTTGTATGCAGTCCTGGTTCCTTGCCTCTCAGGCAGATGCACTCCAACTTCCAAGGAAGCTCCCAATTAGTCGACTCTTACGACATGGTTTTGGGTAGGCAGTGGGTCTATTCTTGTTTTTTCTATAATAGGGCTCCGGAGCCCACACAGGGAGCTGATCAACTGACCTTGGAAGATGCACCAGTAGATCAGACAGATGCACCATCACATACTGTCAAAACAAACATGATCACATCAGTCAGGAAACTGTATTTTGCTGTTGATTTATTAATTACAATATTATTTAAAATAATTTATTGGTACAGTCTTATTTACAACAGTTTTTTGCTTTTTCTTATTTACAAGGATTTCCTCATGTGGATTCCGGACCCCCATTTTAGGAAAAACAAATATACCCACTTTATCCCTAACAAACATGTCATAAGAGTCAGCTAATTGGGCGTTTCCTTCGAAGTCAGAGTGCATCTGCCAGAGAGGCAAGGAACTAACAGTCTGCATACAAGTGAGCCAGATTTATAAAAGGGATGTGTATGCAAGACTTTGGTTCTAGAACAGGACTTTAGTCCAACAGTGGATGAACAGCTAGAACTTTCCGTTCTCAAGGATGCAAACCTGTTTAATTGTGTCTTCTGCATGAGCCATCTATGACCTTCCTCTTATCAGCCGCTGACCCTTAACTGCACCCTGAGCTTCATGCAGAGGGTGGTCTGTGTCTGCAGCTACCCTGAGATATGACTTCGCCTGCAGCACCTTGTGCCCACCTGCAACCGTCGGCAAACCTGGACCATCACAAAAGAAGAAGAAGTGTCTTTCATTTATCCCTTCTTTATTTATTTTCAAAATTTTCTTTTTATTTTCCTATTCCCTCCAACACCTGTATGTTTTTTTTTTTCCCCGCTTGAATTAGAACTTTTGTGTGTGTGTGTAATCTCTTCATCTCTGAGGCATAATTTTGACTTTCTAATTGCTTTTTCATTTTTCATTATGTTGTGCTACACAGTCAGATTGAGAGTACAGACCATTTTACAGTTCTTAATTTTAATTTATTGTTGGTCTCTCTGTACCAAAGCTTTTCAAACTTTTCATGTTGATATCAATTTTTAGACAAACATAACTTTATAATGACACTGTGATTCTGCCTTTTAGCAAATCAGAGGTTGTTGTTTGTTATTGTTTACTGGCTGTAAGTTCTGACAGAAAGTCCTGGTTGATTGTCCATTTCTGGACTTTAGCTTCATTCTAGGACCTGAGTTGTGTGTGCATGTCCGTTTTACAGAACTAGTCAGCCAAGCTTGCCTGCAGTCTGATCTTTCCTTGCCTATCAGACACTAACTTTAATGGATTTATTGACCCAAGATTGCCTGCAGTCTGATGTTTCCTTGCCTATCAGACACTAACTTTAATGGATTTATTGACCCAAGATTGCCTGCAGTCTGATGTTTCCTTGCCTATCAGACACTCTGACTTTGAAGGATTTATCGATCCCATCTTAAGGTTGACTGTAGCCAATATGTACCTTTTATATATATATATAGTCAGACTGTAGTATAGCAGGACCATACAGTATGACACTTGAAGCTTTGTCAGATTCTGGCTTTAGTCTTGTTCCAGAACCTAAGTGTTGCATTCCATTTCACAGATCTGGCTTATTTGTCTGCAGACTCTTGGTTCCTTGCCTCTCAGGCAGATGTATTCCGACTTAAAAGGATGCCCGCAGTTAGACTCCTCTGACTGACATGCTTGTAGGGGAGCTAGTAGGTCTGTTGCTGGTTTTCCCTACAAAAGGGCCTCCAGAACCCACACGGTAACCCCTTGTATAAAAGATATGTACACATAATATAAATTTTGTTTGTGCAACCCATCTTTACCTCAGCGGACACACTAATGTCATGTCACAGTTTGTAAAAGCTTTAGATGTTAATATTTGTCTTCTCTTGTTGCTAGCTTCAACATCATCAACTGCCAAACTACAGGGAGGCTACTACATTGCTCCAGGTGTTCATGGATCAGGGTTATCTTTCCCTGGCAAGCAGGCTGCAGCAAGTGGTAGTACTGTTGAACAGGAAGTTGGAGACAGGACTCGAACTAACAAGCCTTACATTGTTGTGCTACCACACACAGACACTGAAGCATCAGCAGAGGTAACTAATTTTTTTTTTTTTTTAATATTTATTTAATGCAGGCAGTAAAAATACTTTTCCCGCCACAAATTTTGAGATATTAATTTTTTTGAACATTTTGAAAAAGATCCGCAACTCTTACATAAAGTATATTGTCAATTTTGTTGTTGTTGATTGTATCAGACTGGCCGTCCTCCTCGAAATGGATAAAAAATGTAAACTGGTTACCTTAAAAAAAAGACAATCTATATGATCTGAAAAACTGGTGCAAAAACAACATCCTATTCCAAAAACTGAGGTATTTTGGCCCTATTAAATAGCCTAGAAAGTATGGTAACAAGGGGTACAGGCCCCGGAAAACATAGCAGAGTTTAACCTCCACAAAGGTGGATGCAAGACATTTAAGAGTCTTGAGCTAGATAAGCACAAAGGGCTGGAGAATTCACTTGAGACAGAGACACTTTTAGGCATGACTTGAACTCTGTGATATTCTGTAAAAAACCTGCTAATTGGTGATGATGATTAGGTTGAGTTAAAAATAAGAACTGACATCACAGTACTCAGTACATTCTTATCAGCTGAAACTGGTTAGAGAGACATAGAAGCTGTCGCATGCGGATATGCACTAGAACGCACCAGTACTGAGCGAGCAAATAGGACGTTAAAACAATATGTAATGTTGTTAAGGGATTGTATTCTAGGAGATGAAAGTCGAAGTTTGACCAAGGCGGACGTGTGGTCCGGCCTTGGTGTGGATCCTTGAGGATGCTTTACCCTGGGATGCTACTAAAGGAATGGTAATCAAAGTTGGATCCTTGAGGACGCTCTACCCCGGGACTCCACTATAAACCTCAGCAGATAGATGGTATATTGATTGTCTATTGTGCTCGGCAGGAAGCCGGTATACTTTTATTACCTTGTTCAGTCTGCAGAAGAGAAGATCCAGATGACCATCTGGACTTCCAAGGTCGGACTGAGATCGATATGACTGTCCGGATTTCCAAGGTCGGACTGCGACCCATCATTTGTTATGAAGTCAGTTGATGTACGAGCGGGCTTGTGTTGGTGTGTTTGGATGAGTCTGGAGTTTATTGAATTACACATTTTCTCATCTGTTGATCCAGTGTATATTTCAATACACACCAGTTGGAACTTAACTCATACCATTCGTTGTCAACTGAGTTTGAAAGCATTGGATGGAGTTCCTACTGTTCTACTGTTTGAAAGCATTGGAGTTCTACTGTTCTACCCCACTTGGCCTGTTTCATCGTTGGTATGCCACACATCACCATGAAAATACCTCACGTCACAGGCCGTCTGTGTTTTTCAAGCATGATTTGAAAGGGAATGTACTTGAGAACTTGGTAATGGCAAGAATATTAATGGAAAGAGAGCAAGAAAATGCAGAAGAATAAATATATGTATGGCTTAGCCATTTGGTGGTGGGGTGGGGCGCTGCCATGAAACAAGAACACTGACCTGATCTGTGATTCTAATGGTCTTGTGAGATAGCAGCACATGACAGCCTGTACTTATCAGCATGGCACGTGATAACGATGTATATAAAATATCTGCTACTATTTAAGATAACTTCTGAAACCAAGGGGGTCAGATTCTACCTGTGTAGGAATGCAGGTTACACCTGGCTGGTGTATTGATTACTGATTCCCAGGGCCATGCCCTGATATGATATAGAGAGGAGGCTGCATCAGGCAGCAAGAGAGGAGGCTGCCTCAGGCAGCACTGTAAGAGGGCAGCATAGCAGTGAAATAAATACAGTTTGTGAACATTTAAGGGGCTATATTTCCAATACTTGTATCACACTGAGAAAATCTACCACACAACCTTGCAGGGGCCCTACTTATAACTTCTTTGCAGGTTCAATGGGGTATCTAGTTTCTACCTTGTCGGTCTGCCATCCAGATTGAGATTTAAAAACAATCTCAGGATGATATGGTAAATTGACTTTTTAAACCTGCTTTCATCAATTTGCGTGTAATTTCCAGTAATCCTAGAACACCTCTATGTAACTTTGACACATTCTTCAGCATATTTGCATCTCAGAATGGTTGGAAGGATTTCATCAGTCCAGAATCTTTCCAGACAATAGTGTTATAGTGCAGTGTTTCTCAGCCTTTTAACACCCACAGCCCACCAAAACAAGGAAAATTATCTTGTAGCCTGTCTGACAGCTGACCAAACACATAACAAAAAATCAGATATAGATGTCAGTTAATTTGTTACTTCTGATGTCATAAAATTACAGTTTTCAGCTAAGTGGACCTCTGCTGTTTAGAGGCTACAAAATCTTGTATAGGTGGCTGGAGCCTTCATTCTGATAGACTCAATAACATTCATTCGCTGTTCCTGTTTTGGATTTTCTTACTGATGTCACTGAGAAAGTCTTTTCACAGAATTACGAGGTCACAATTACTGGTGCCATCAGAATTGGAACACTTCGCTTGCTGCTGAAAATGAAGACGAAGCACTCATGGTAGTGTTCTGAGTGCTGTGATTTTGATTCTTAATTCAACAGAAAAATTAAGTCCAAAAAAAAAATTTTGAAAATACCAACCGCCTAATAGCTCTATAACTCAAACATGGGTATTCTTTTTCAAGTGATGTCCAAGACTCAGGTAATTGGATTTTGTGTCTGGTCACAAGACTGACCTCAGAAGATAACTTTATCAGCCATTCTATTTCATGATGAGTATGCATACTTCCTCTTTTACCACTACCGGTGTTGAGGGAGTAAGTTCTCAAGAAGGAATTACTAATCAAAAGGTTGCCTTTATGAGTGTCCTCATTTCAGAGAAAATTTTATCAGTCTTCAGCTAATTTCTTTAAATGCTGATTTGTTATGTTGAATATTACTTGTACCTGTTTTCCCCGTGTGGGTTCCGGGGCCCTATTATAGGGAAAACAAGAATAGACACACGCCTACTTAAAAGTATGTTGTAAGGGTGAACTAATTGGAAGCTTCCTTTGAAATTGAAGTGCATCTGCCTGAGAGGCAAGGAACCAGCAGTCTGCATACAAATGAGTCAGATCTGTAAAACAGATAGATGCACACGCAACACCCAGGTTCTGGACTGCAGTCCAGAAGTGAATAAACAACCAGAACTTTCTGCCAGAGTTTACAGCTAGTGAATGCAAAGAAGAAGAAGAAGAAGAAGAAGACTTGTACCTGTTTGATTCTCAAATTTGGGTCGGTAATCCAACAGACTGCAATCCTGGAAATTAAAAAAATATTGACCTGGTCTATCCCCTTTACATCAATAGTTCTCAGCCTGTCGGTCGCGACCCTTTTGTGGGTCAAATGACCCTTTAACAGGGGTGGCCAAAGACCACCGCAAAACACATATTCATTGAAGTTATGAAGCAACGAAAATAATTAATATGTTTGGGCGAGGGGGGTGGTCACCACAACATGAAGAAATGTATTGGTTGAGAGCCACTACATTACATGATTAAGAAAACATTTTTGGCAACCCAAATGGGCTTTTATGCGGCCCACCAGAGGGCCCATGGTTTGAAGAACGTTGTTATTGTTGACTGTAGGGAGGCAGGCGAATCACTGTGCAGTGATGATGGCAGGTGTGACTAGCAAGACCTACTCACATTAAGAAAAGTCTTTCCAAAGATTCTCTTTACAACTTCATTATTTCACCTATGAACAGTTTAGGAATATAGAGTATATCTGATCAACTGTATCTTCCATAGATTGTGGAGATAGCTATAAATGGATATCAGAATGGCTTCAGTGAAAACTTGGATCTTAGCCAGATTGACGATGATCGGTTTTCGACATTTAGATCACAGGAAAATATTCTTGCACCTGGTCTCCGATATGGATCCTTGAGAAGACAGGTATGTCTTTATGTTTTGAAGACAGCTGTCTTTTAAGTTTTAAGACAGGTTTGTCCTTATGTTTCAAAGACCAGTATCTTTTAATTTTTAAGACAGGTGTGTGTCTTTATGTTTTGAAGATCGATGTCTTATACTTTTAAAGACAGGTTCGTTATTATGTTTCAAAGACCAGTATCTTTTAATTTTTAAGACAGTTGTGTGTCTTTATGTTTTGAAAATCGATGTCTTATACTTTTTAAGACAGCTATGTCATTATGTTTATGAAAACTTTATGATATCTTCATACTAAGGGTATCTTTATGTCTTCAGAGAAGGTCTGTTTTTATTGTGGCTTCAGGAAAGAAATGCCTTTATGCTAACAAATCAAGTGTGGACTTCTGTAGATTTTTTTAAATTGGAATTTGTTTTGTTTTTCGTTTGTTGACACTTTTTTCTTCTGGACTTGCTGAGTATTGAGTATGTTTTGAAAATATATAATTTTAAAAAATTGTTATGTTATTAAAAGAGAGCCGCTGTGGTGTAGCGGCTAGATGCTCACCTGCAGATTCAAAAGTCATGGGTTCGAATCTGAACCGAGCCTGACTTTTTTTTTATAAACGACATTGGCTTCCAGGATAACCCAGCCATAAATGGGTACCGGGCAAAGTCCTGGGAAGTAAAGGCAGCTGCCATGATGTTAACTACATGACCCATTAAGTGCTGATAGATCGATGAAAAATAGGTCTAGTACTGTAAACACTTATGTTGTTGATGGTAGGATTATTAAAACCTGCGTCTCTCTAAGGTTTTTTTTTTTTAGGTTCTGTTTCTTTATGGATTTCATCAGCCTTGTCATATTTGTACTATCGTCCATCCTCACTGTTTTGTTGTTTCTATGGTTTCTTCCTTCTTTCTTTGATTAAGGAACAAAGCGGTTCTCCAGTAGTGAAGAAAGCTGAGGATAATTGTGATGACTTGTCATGTGACAGTGCCAGTGACAGCGGGAGGGGAGGAAGTGATGTCGATATCAACAACGCTGCAGCAGCTGCCAAACAAGGTCAGGGTTAATCATAATTATGTTCGTTTTTTAATTTGTTATTTTGTCAGAAGAAATTTCTGAAGTACCGAGATGCAGCTCTGGCATCTAGTGCATCTTCATTCAGGTCTTTAGTGCATCATTCTCTGCTGATTGGTGGTGCAGTTGGGGTTTTGCCCTTCACAGATTCTTGAGACCAGAATTGCATTTCTCAGACCTCTTCAGTGCTTATATAAAGTAGGACTTACATATAGTCGATGTTCTTCTTGTGTTCGCTTTCTGATTTATGCTGACAGGCAAGTTCTTATGATAAACTTGACTGTTTTTAGGAGTCAAATTTAAGAATCGAATCCTAGCACTCAGGCCATTGCCATAATCACTCATTACTCGTCTTAAGCAGCCAGCACATAGCTCCAGTTGTAATAGTACCAGTAGCTGTCTGACTGTATATCCATCTGCTTGCCTTTCCTCTGAGTGTTGAGTGTCAGCCAGATTCCATGACTATTGCCCACTGGCCCATGCTCTATAGACTGTGATGATCTATTTGTGCCTCTGCACTGTTCACTTGCTGCCAAAGGGTTAGTCTCTGTTATATCATGCCTACACACAGTCTGTGTTTAAGTATACATTTAGAGTCACACATCACCACACATCCTTTATGCCTGTGCACAGTCTGTTTTAAACTGTGCTATCACTGACAGACATCCGTCATAACTCCCATGCGTTGTACTGTCACAGACAGACATCTCTAAAAGTCTATCATGCTATCTACAGAAAAATAAATTTTTGATTGAAGTGTAATTGCATACTTTTTGTTTCTGTTATGTATGCTGCTGTGGTATGTTATTTTAACTTTTGTGCATTCCGTTTCATACATTTATGCTCATGTCTCAACTACAACAATTTACGATTTGTATTCACAGCCCGTGCAAAAGCTACTACCCCTATTGCTGTTAAAAGTGGGATCTCCCCAAGACTTTCACCGCTTCCTCCAAAGGAAAACATGCTGGTTACTTTTCGAGGACAGTCCCCAAACACTTTCAATTTTGATTCTGACAGTGGGTCTCTGTCTCGTGGGTCTCAAGCACCCAAATGGAGTTCAGTGCCAATTGCAGCAGATCCCAGGAAGAGTACACCTACATTTGGGTCAGGATCTGCCAGTGCTTTCTCCAGCCCAGCAAGTGAGGCTTATAAAAACAATACAGATGCACAACAGGACTCAAGACATTTTCTTCCTCTTCAGCCGGCAGAAACCTTCCAGCCTTCCAGCCATGAAGCCCGGTCACTTGACAGCAGATATGGTGGTGAAACTTTCACAGAGAGATTTGCTCCTAGATCAGCTCCCCCAAATATTCTTTCACCTCATGGTACATATCCCAGGCATGATGTTGAAACAGCTTTAAGAGGCAGAGGCTTGCAGCTGAGTCATTCTTTGACTAGAAGGAACCCTGTTCCTCTATCACAGCCATCTTCAAGCTCAGAAATTACCCATCAACCCCCATCTGGGCCTACAGACAGAAATAATATGTTAAAATATGAAAGACCCTTTCGAAATGGTAATCATTTACAGCAGACGTCAGAGGAGTTGCCTTTAAATTATCGTAGAACTCATGAAGTCGACTTTGATCGCTCAGATAGACCACCAGTTAGTCAGACTGGCAGACACTCTAACAGGTTGAACTCTGCACCTCAGAGTAATGTGAATGCCACTTTCGGAAGTAGAAAACATGAATTACGTGAATCACATGCAGATAGTGTGGAGGAGGACTTTTTGCTTCCACCATATCCAGAGGTGGCAGGTGAAGAAGATGATGTGTTAACTATCCGTCCTGGATATACAGATTATGATCCACAAATGGAACCTGAAAGATCAGCCTTGTTCTCCAAGTCCAGATTTGAATCTAGTGCTTAATTAATCTGCAGTGTAATAAAAGTTATACTTGAAATTTATGCCCACACACACACAAAGTTTAAATTAGGTCTGTGGATGGCAAGTTCCATGCATTCTTTGCCATCACTACTGATGCCGTTTATGGAAGATGTTTCAGCTGAATCAAGGGACATCATTTTCTAGTTTATAATTCTGCGAGTGATTAACATTTTGTTTTCCAATTGTGTGACATGAATTATTGGAGTCACATTGATTCCATACTTCAGCATTGAAACCAATCTATTGCACTGCTGCACTGAACATAATATTTAATATTTTGTACGTTTGTAACATAGAGAAGTTCCAAATGTGTTTATAAAAAAATTGAATTATAGCATTGTTTGTGGAGCAACCAGTTGTGTGTTTCTCTGTAATAGCTGACATGTCAGCATGGAAACATTGTAAATCAATATGGATAACAGCTAGCACAAGAAACAATGTCATCAACTGGAGGGACAAAAGAGTCACCATGACAAATCTGAGCCATAAATGACAAAAATGAGCCAACATGACAACATGGAGCCAGCATGACAAAGTAGTCAATGTGATAAATTGCAGCACCATAAGAAGCAATGAAACCAACAAGGGAACATAGAAAACAAAGCAACGAGTTACCCCAGTTCATAATACCAACATATATGTGAAGCTCTATAATTTAACACGGTAACATTTGTCCAGAGAACTGCATTCACCTGTAAAATCAGTGTAAGTGATATCTTTCTTAAATTATTTACATATTTTATTGCATTTATTAAAATCTACACGAGAGGCTAAGACAGACAAAAATAGACAGAGACAGGTTAGGACAGAAATGGATCTAGACCAAGACAGACACAACAACTGAGACAGACGTAGACTGAGACAGGCTGAGACAGACTTAGACTAGAACACAGACAGAGACTGGGATAAACAGACCAAGACTAAGTTAGGTCTTGTTCTAGACATGAGACGTGTAACATAATTGTACAGTTTTCTGAATTGAGCATAGCCAAGATAAGAATATCTTCATTACAGCATGGCAGTGCCTTTTGTGATTGATTGATATTTGGTTGTCGTGATTGTTATGATTGCCCACAGTTTGATTGTCATTGTCAGATGTTTTATTGGCATAATTGCTGAATGTTTTATTGCCATGATTGCCAAATGTTTTATTGTCATGATTGCTTGATGTTAGATTGTGATGATTGTCATGATTGCCAGATGTTTAAATGTCATAATTGAAGATGTTTGATTGTGATGATTGTCAGATGTTTGTCGTGGTTGCTCGTTGTTTCATTTTGTTGGGATTTTCAAATGTGTGCATAAAATTTTTGCCAAATGTTTTATTGGGATTGAGGTCAGATGTTAGATTTTCATAATTGTCCCCTCTTTGTCATGTTTGCCCACTATTTGATTGTTGTGATTGCCCTATGTTTAATTGTCACTCATGACTGCCAAAGTTTGATTGTCACAAGCTTGATTGCTGTGGTTGTAATATAGTTGCCATGACTAGATGTTTGAGAGGCAGTACTTTGTTTGATTGCCAGATGTTTGATTGCCATGATTGTTTAACTTTTGATAGTAGTGATTCCCCAATGTTTGACTGTTGTGATTATCCAGTGTTTGATTGTTTGGACTACTATGTTTGAATGTTATTGTTGCCATATGTTTAATGGTTGTGATAAATGTTTGATTGTCATTACTGCCAGATATTTGATTGCTATGATTGCCAGATGTTTGATTGTCATAATTTTCCACTTTTTAATTGTTTGAGGTTTAAACAACAGATCAACATCATGGCACACGGGTAGTAACCCATAAGTGCTCTGTTCTACTTCTAACTCAAGTCTGAGCCTGAAGTAGCTCAGCCCAGTGCTCAGGCCTTGTAGCACCGGAGAAAATCCTGAAATATTTTGGGTAGATTTGTAACTTCAAATGTTGCCCAGGCAGCGCAGTTAGGCTACTCTTTTCGATTTTCAACTGCCAAGGGATTTGTTTACATGCGCAACAGTACACACGGGCATCTGATCTCACTACCCAGAGATTAGGGGAAATTACTAGAAGTTCATGTGAAAAAATCCCAGCCCTCACCAGAACTTGAACCTGGAACCTATAGCACACAAGGCGGACACCATACCTCGAGACAATGCAGCCCCCTCATTTTTTATTGTCATGATTGCCCAACGTTTGATTGTTGTTGTCAGTTGTGATTGTGTAAAGTTGATTGTCATGATTGCCATATGTTTGATTGTATTGATTGCCATTTGTAGGATGGTCACATGTTTATTTGTTGTGATTGACGAATGTTTGATTGTTATTCTTTCCAGATGGTTGATTGCCATGAAAGCCAGATGTTTGATTGCCATGAAAGCCAGATGTTTTATTTATGGTTGCCAGAGGTTTGATTGTCATGATTTCTAGATGTTTAATTGTCATGATTGGTCAATATTTGATTGTCATGATTGCAAGATGTTTTATTGTTATGATTTTCATATGTTTCATTGTAATGTAGGCCAGATGTTCGATTGTCATCATTGTTAGGTTCTCCCAAACTGTGCCAGAAAAGGCCATTTGCAAGAAAATGCCGTTTGCCAGACAGGTCATGACTGTGTTTGAAATTGTGTTAATCTGTTAAATGCCAGCAGGGTATCAGTAACTCCAGGTAGAAGAAGTCAGAGTGAACAAGCAAGAAAGCTTGCATAGAATACCAACAGGTGGCCAGTATTCTTCGGGTGTCGAGGTAAATATAAGGTCTTGCTTCCTGCTGTTCTGGCTGCTTCGACCATAGACGCAAAGTGGTGCTGTAGACTTTCTTTGTTATCTTCCCTTCTTGTTCTTGATCCGTCTCTTGCTCTATGTCCTTCTCTTCGGGTGTATGCTGTGCATGGTATAGCAGCAGAAGGCATTTTTTCCAAGTGGGCAAACCATTTGATTTGCTGTCTTTGTGTGTAATTTAGAATTGGTTCTGTGCTGACTTTATCTCATATGACCTTATTCCTGATTTTGTCTTTTACATTTTTTTCCTTTTAAAAATTGCAATTGTTACTATAGTTACACTGGTCTCCCCCCCCCCCCCCCCCCCCACCCATTTTTTTTATTAAAAAAAGTTACTTTAATTGTTACTGTAGGCACTTTAATCTTACTTCATTTGTTGAGACATTCCTATGTCCAGAACAATGGTTCTCAGTTTGTTGGGGTGTGAGCTCCTGCCAGACATGTGCAGGCAATTTAGAGACACTTAGACAGAGGTATCCTGTGTTATGTACAAAAGGTTTAAAGTTATAAATATGGGGCTTGGTCTTGCAATGAAAAAACAGAGTGGTATAGTTGTGCTATGGGGTAAAAAAAAAAAAAAAGTGGCATGATGGCTAAGAAAAAATAAAATGAAGTAACTGCGCTAAGGGAAAAAAAAATGGAATAATTGTGCTGTGGAAAAAAACCAAATGGAATAATTGTGCTGTGGGGAAAAAATGTATTAATTGCACGATGGGCTGGGAATGTAAAACAAAACCAAATGGAATAATTGTGCTGTGAATTGAAGAAAAAAAAAAACGGAAGTAGCTGAGCTGTGGAAAAACTAAATAGAATTATTGTGCTATGGGAAAATAATGAGAAAAATGAACTTCACAAGATCACAGAGAATCTGGTGGTTTTTGTGACTGCAAAATTTCCAACACCGGCACCAACAAAGAAATAGAGATGACTAATATAACTGTTATTTTAGTATTCATATAAAACAGATAACTGACCCAGTCAACAAAATGCTCGGAGGACATTGGATTATCCACCTGTGTATGCAAAAATCTAAGCTTTATAATGGATACATTGTAGATTCCAGAATGATACACAACAAACACTGGAAGCATCTGTTTCTCTTTGTTTTTAATTACTGATGAATTCTTTATTGCCACATTTTCCACTGAGTGGTATATCATTTCTGATTATTATTCTCATTCTTCTTTTTCTTCTTCATTCACCCTTGAAAGGATGGAATGCATGCTGTATTGTGCTTTACAACTAGCTCTTTCAGCCTAGAACATTCATTCAATTTCTGCCAACCCCTAATTAGTCGCTATTTGTGACATGCTTGTTAGGCGGCAGTGGGTCTCCCCCCCCCCTCCACCCACCCTGCCCCAAATGGGACCCCAGAACCCACATCCGTGAATGTATAATTGGAAACTAGGACTAGAAGAATTAAGAAATATCTTTCACATGCGGAGTAGTCCCTGAAATTACTGAGAAATGTGAAAATGGATTTTCTCTTTCATATCACATGGTTTTCCGTAGAATATACTCGTACTATATTCTAACCAAGACATGGCATTACAAAATGTTTTATTTTGTTTATAAATTGTGTTGAAATTTGAATGTGTGTCTTGCAGAATGTTTCTTCATTGCCAGCTGCACTTAAGCTTTTTGTGTGTGTGTTATATGCCACATGTAGACTTTTATACTTGAATAAATGAAGATTTTTTGTACATGAAGAGAATCAGACATTACTTGAAAATAAGCCCTACGGTGTCCTTTTTAGCAAAAATCAAGATCCTTAGAAGAAACAGAGAGAAAACATTGTATTATGACCTTTGCCGGTTACTGTTGAAAATAAATTCAAAGGGAATATCAGGTTCATCTCTTTCAGTAACCAAGAATTTATTATGTTTCTTGGTGTTTCTAAAGATAGTACGATGTTCTGGATTTCAGTCACAGACAGTTATATTAACCCTTTGTGTGGGAATTATTAGTTTAACCACTTCTGTCTCAGTGTCTCTTTTAAACTTCCTCAAACTTGATTACTGGTAACTTTTGAGCTCACTTTCCTAGGATAGGCTCTGGGGCTAAGTCGATGTGAACGCTTCGTAATGCTGGGGTGACGGGTTCGATCCCAGCTGGGGGCTATGCACCTCGCGTTGGTTTCGACAGTGGTATCAAGGAGCTGACCGTCCAGAAAGCAATGGCAAACTACTGGACTTAAATTTGCCTAGAGAAACCACACAACAGCCAGG